CCGTTCTCAGCCTTTTTGTTGCAACGCGTATGCGACAAAAGTGGTAGAAAACGAGTAATACGAAGGATATAATACAGTAATGCACTTGCCCGCTTCAAAAACTGGTGCAGAACGACTTTGCCAAACCGCACCAAATGCAGCCGCACTGCCACGCCCCACCGGTCCGCAATGATGAGGACTGTACCAAAAATTGATAGCCCGTGTTACTCGTCTTTTGCATCGGGTGAGACCAGGAAGCACGAGCGACGCTGGTTCCGCTCTCTACGCCTGGCCAGAGGCTGCGTGAGGTAAGAAACAGTTGTGTGCATTTGTTGCTCCTGCTCAGTCTCACTTGACTTCACGCGCAGTTCGGGGTACTGTATCCCACCAAACGTATAATTAGGTCTCCAGGAGCCCCATGGTGCCTATGGGTTCATCCTTGTGCTAACCCTGAGCACGTGATTAACCGTTTTTTGATAATTACAACATCTCCATAGGAAAACGTGGGTTTTCAAAGAACCATTTAATGATCGTCGCATAATTCATAACAATAGTGAATATTTCAATCAAAGATAGAACCATAACTACAAACAGACGCCGCAGTCTTGATGTAAACAACAACAAAACCAAAAAATGTACACATGCAATAATAGGAATTCATACACTCTGCCGCAACTGGTTACGTAGTTCGATGACTTTCTCCCTATCGCCCGGTGGTAGCATGGCGATTTCTGCCTCCGTGAGTCTCATGACCTGCACCAGCAACTCGGCATTGTGCTGCTCATCTGGTGTGATTTCTGGCTGTGGCGGTGGCTGGAAGAAAATATGGGTAAATTGGTGTCTATGAAGACTTTGCGCTAAAAAGACGGCGTCAAGACTTCGCAATGACGCGCTATAACTGTAACAGCGCTCCAGTCCTATAGACGCGAACGAAGACGGGACTCGATCGACACAGGCCGCTTATGTTTCGAGAAGACATAGGATAACAGGAGGACAAGCGCTATCCTCACACAGTCCGGTACTCTACCAAAGCCCTAGCGGCCTGTGCCAATCGATACCCGACTGCGCGATTAGGCAATGCCTACCCTCCTTACTCTCACCAATTGCGTCACGTCTATAGCACAGAAGCGCTGTTACAATTGTAACGCGTTGACACGCGACATCGCGAAGCCTGAACGCTGCCTTTTAATGATCTTGGAGCTAAAGTTGCAAAATGAATGGATCAACTGTACCTGTGGTGGTCCAGGGCGGGCATACATCTGCTGAGGTGGAGCTCCATAGCCAGGTTGCGAAACAGCTGGCATTGGTGGGGCCATGGCTAAATAGAAATCAAGGTATCAAAAACTGATTATCTCACAAGTGAGTACACTGTGAGTATTCAATAAATTACTCGATGCTTTCTTGATAACTTATAATCTTACAGCAGAACACTGATTTATTAGCGACAATGTCAGCTAACCGTGGTGGACATTCAGTGGGGAGCATGGCCTCCACTCATTTTCCTGATTGGACAATATGGTTGCGACCATGATTTTGTCCACCACCAGTGGAGGACATGACCCTTGTCGTTAACGGGGTTAAAGGTACTCCCCGAAAAATGGGAATTGTGCGGCTCGAATACTAATGAAAGGAAAGAAGTGAACAAAACGAAGAAAAATCCATGCGATATGCATCGTAGCACTCCATGCCGAACCGCGCTTGTTCGTTCAAAAGGCGAAGAAAGGGCATGCTCGGAAGAGTTCTCACTTGTTAGTGCGACTCCTTATCTTCCCACTAGCACATCTTGAAACGTGATAGTTAGTGGCGGAATAATCGCACCACCAGGAATCTTTCAGAAATGAAAGTTGGACGTCGCCGTGGTCAGTGGGCGAGCCTCGGACTCCGCCGCGATGAGCGGCGCCTTCCTCACGTTTTTTGAGCTGCGAAAGTGATACACCCTCCAGCTCTGCAGACAGGGCTACTTGTACAATGAAGGCGATTAAACAAC